AGATGCTTGAAATTTTAACAAAATCTTCTCTGACGTATGCCATATCTTGGGATACCTTTTTTTTCAAATTGGATATCAACTTCCTGTTTGTCTATGCATCTGTCTGTTTTACACATAGCAAATTTTCGTCACAGTTTTCTCATCAGCTATTCATGGCGGATGCTTGAAATTTTATTACACCCTTTGTTAAGGCATGAATCTAATGTCAACTTCATATTTTTCTGTGCATCTGCCTGTGATTGAACTTGTGTATATATATTAACATGATAGTGCTTATTTACATCAGAGCGGGGGTATTACTAGTGAGCATTGGCTCACAGATTTCTTGTTTTAAGAGTTAAAAAAAAATTCTTCCTTTCTGCCTCCAATCACATTCGTTTTCCGGTGGTGTGGATAGGAGGTGTATTTATTATATTAATTGATTTTATAAAGATATTTTTCTTTATTTTCTTTTACATAAATTATAATAATTATTTTTAAAAGCAAAATAAGTTAAGACATAAAAAAATAATTATCTAATAAAATAATTCAAATTATTTTTTTTTAATTATTTATCATTTAAGGGCTGAGAATATTAAGTTCTTATAGGACATATTATATAATTCGGAGACTTTTTCACAGTCTTCATCCTTAACAATGATCTGCCAATATTTTGTCAGTGTTCCTTTTAAAATTAATGTCGGATACACTGGTAATAATTATTGTGTGGAATGCTGAAATTTAACGATGTTTCTACGTGTAGAAAAAAAAAATGTGTAGGATTCTTTCCTTGAGGGATCCAAATTCATGTATTATAAATTTATGATAAAGCAAAAGATTAATATTTTTCTTATGAAAAGCACCTGCCCTTATTTTGGTATTTCTTGACTATTTTGGTCTTCTATTCTTCTATTCACTGTTGTGGGATATACATGTACATGTACATATAGAAAGATATAATTATGTGGGGAGATTTTCCTGATATTACGTTCTTCACCTCTCTCTCTCTCTCTCTCTCTCTCTCTCTCTCTCTCTCTCTCTCTCTCTCTCTCTCTGAGTAGACAGTTCCTGAGACTGAAATCAGTTGTAACTCATCTGTACATTATACAGTAGAACGTCTATTAGTCTTTTTACATCATTTACATTCACACTGATTACCGAAACAGTTTGCATTTTAATAGGAAGATTAAAAAGACCTCAAGGATCTTTTTGATAGACGTTAGCTAAGGGGACCTATTAAAATGACCAAAAGGAGAGACAGAGAGAAATTACTGTTATCTATGTAGTTCTAAAAAAAAATCTTTGATCAATCAGTGTGAATGCAATATCTGCTTATTGGATTTTTTTTTCAAAAATTATATTTATTACACTTATTCATAATGTGTACAATATGAAAAAATTGTCAAAATCCCAAAACAATCGCTCTACAAAAAATACCCACTATACATTATAAGGGGTATTTTTTTTTGTGGAGCGATTGTTTTGGGGTTTTGACGATTTTTTCATATTGTACACATGATGAATGAGTTTAATAAATATAATTTTTTAAAAAAATGTCCAATAAGCCCAGGAACAACTGTCTCCACAAGTACCTGTGATCAGAGAGAGATTAAAGAGAGAGAGAGAGAGAGAGAGAGAGAGAGAGATCTTGACTGTGACTTATACCATAGATCTAAATCACTTCATGTCTAAGCTTATACCAAAAATGACGTACTATTCTGAGATATAAAGGAGAGAAAATTGAAAAATCGTTTAATAAAAAGCTTTAATTAGCCTCAGTAAAATGAATAAACCTCTTCTTCTGATATAAATAATGTTCCGTTACATGTTTGATGTAGTAAGGTTGCATATGGAAATTGAGGAGAGTACTGCCACTTTAAAGCATTTCTGTTCTCCCGTGATTTCATGTTTTTTGGTTGTTTTTTTCCCCCAAAAATTGTTATTATTAATCTAAATTCATACCCATTATAGAAAAATATCTTTTGGGTGAATGCTTTTCACAATAGGTGTAATGCAAATTATTGTTATAAAGTAGAAGAATTATAAAAAAAAAAAAAAAAAAAAAAAAAATCTTTATTTAAAATGTTGCCGAGGGCATTAACTCCTCAAGTATTCAGGCACTTTCTTTATTGTACATTTTACGTTTTTATGGTTTTCCTGATATTCACAATTCTATAGTATTTTGTAAAGTGAAACTTTTAGCATTAGAATTATGTATTTTAACCATTTTTTATCTAATGATTATTATACTGTTCACTAAAAATTAACCATTTTAATGCTGACATACACTTTAGTTTAATATTGTCTTACTTATCTTGCTTAAAAATATGGCTACCTATACATTTTTTGCTATTATTAGTTAATCTAAACTACATTCAGTGAAAATAAATGCAGTTTTCCTACTTTGAACCCATAAAATTGTGATGACCTTAAGATCTTTCTATTTATTTTATTAATTTATACAAAGATAGAACTTTCCTTTAAATTACACAATTTTTATCAATCGCGTTTTATGAATATTAGAAATTTAATACAAAAACCGATTTATTTCTGACTTTGCATTTGAATATCGGACACAGTTTAAAGTCAATTTCAGTACAGAAAAGTGGGGTTAATATTCAAGTTAAAAATCGGTGAGAATTTTAATTTGAACGTAAATAACAAATATTATGTTCATCTAAACTCAAACTCGTATTTTTTTTTCAGCTCAGATACGCCATATATATACTATAATTTTGAGGTCAACGAAATTAATAAATTCGGAGTGTAACATGTTCGTTTCCGCACTATTTCAATGCCCTTTGAGATTATACAATGACATCCTATGCTTGCATAACAACGTTATCTGCTCTTTTAAGGACCACTTTTGACGTTGATGTCAAAACATTAAAGATATAGGTCAGAGAAATTTTAAAGTCTGATGTTTTAATTCTAATTGTTATTCATTGTTTGAACATGTAATTGCCTACAGATTTATTTGTCGTTTTCCCCAATCATGACAAGGCGCACATGACAAGGGTGGCCGAATTGGCAGGGGATGCTCACTCCTCCATGTCACCCGACTCCCCTCTGATGTTCAAGAGGTCCGTGTTTACTCTGTTCCTGATTTGTATTGTTTGAATGGGCTAATGAATTTGAATACTCTTCGTTATCTGCAAGAAATGATTTCTAAATATAGTTTTAGCTTTCTCCTTTTTAAATAAACTTTAAAGACCTTTTTTGTTTGCTTTTAAAGGTCAAGAGATCAAGTGAAAAAAAATTATACCATACCTAAAATGGTTTTCTAGTGCTAAATCTAGCTCTCTTAATGTTTTTTAAAGGAAAGTTCATACCTTTACACAGTATTACTTAAAAGAAGACTCCTATACTGATTTTAAAATCAGAATGTCAAAGAGCAAGGTCAGAAAATAATATATATTGCGTATTGCAGATGATAACTTAACTTTTCTGCAAGCTTTTAGCAACAAAACTTAAGGTCGTGAATTTCATTAACCTAAAAAAAACCGCTGGCTTAGATAAAGGCCTAAAAAATGAAATGTCAAGGTTGATTTTTTTTTCCTGATCTATTTTTTTCAGTTCACCCTCCTTTCCTAATTCTGGGGACATGAACTCTCTGAATTAGCTCGTTATTCTCGGCGGGGAATTGGTCATTCTGCATAAGTTCACGCTTTGTAGACTTTGTTCAAATGTTCTAGGGATGCAAAATTTTCTTAGATAGTGCGGTTGTAGAATTATTTGCTGGCCACTTGTTAAACATATGAATATTGATTCCTGGCATACTGCCAACGAGACAGACTAAATCCAAATTCATATGACACCAACATCAAATAAATATTCGCCCCAATAAACTGCCCCCAAGAACAGAATAGCTGAAGAAAATCTTCAGACAATATCAAGATATTTAACATGCGATTCACTAAAGAGTCTTAAAAACGACAAATAAATGGGTTAGAACAATGAACAAGTCTCTGTCAATCACTTGGATCTGTGCCAGCTCATTTAATGCATGTGCAAATGAATAAAAAAAAATATAGTATCGGCTTTGGTATTGATCTGCTTGGCAGTTTGCCAAGGCGCCAACTTATTTTACGCTAAAAGCTTACACCAAATGCAATATGCATGTCTCTCTAGGAAAACAACCGTCGCAAAAGGAGGAAACTATTTATCTGTAAACAGTATTGTTTTAATCAATGACTTTACACTTTGAATGCAGGGAACCGTAACGTGATATGAATGGGACAATTTCTTTGATAATCAATGCTTTCTCATTCTATCTCAATCACTCATTTCACCACAACTCATAAATTCTCATTTATAAAAAGTAAAACAGAATGCATGAATGACAGTTACCACAATTTATTGTACTTTCAGACTTTCAAGTTCCAGAAGAAACAACAAATATTCAAATCAGTCTAACATAAATACACAAAAAATGTATAAAGTTGTAAGCATCCTTTACAAAAAAATTGTCAAAAAAAATAAAACAGCAACAATTTGTTAACGAAGTCTTTCATAGCACTATTTAATGCATAATAGTTTTAAAATGTCCAATTTCACATTTCAAAACTTAACAACCATTTTTTGTTATTTTTAATCAACTCATAATTTTTACTTAGGTAATATTGTACATTCTAAAGGAATTCTGAAACTGATTTTCAGAGTTGATAGTTGTACATTGTACAATAAATAGTTGTGGTATATATACAGTATGAACTGGTGAATAAACTAAAAATGCACATAGTGGCATAAACTCAAGACCATAAAAATACAGTTTAATTAAACTTCCATATTTACTTTTTATACGTACAATTTTGATAGGGAAAGAAAACAAGAAAATTTCATTATGTTAAAGAAGGGAAAGAAAGCAAGGTTTAGCAGAAAACACTTTAAATATCAACAAACACAAAAACTGCCACAAGTCACCCCTCATCCCTTCAAATAGGATTTTTGTACAATTCTATCATGAGGAATGGAGGTAACATATGCATTGCTATGTGCATTTTGATGGTCATCTTGATAAATCAAGAGAGGATCCATGTCAGAACATAAATTCACAATAATCATTCAATAACACACACATACTAGACAGCTTCTGTAACATTTATCAGAGACATAAAATAATGCTGTGTAACAGGTCACACTTGATGACTGGATCTACACAATATTAACATTCGGTCACAATAAGCACCTACACAATAAAGCAACTGGAATATGTTGTCGGCAAAAAATTATACAAGAATCATTAGTTCTGGTTTCCAAAAATATTTTCCTTTCTATTTTAATTATTAATTTTGATATTAAAGAAATCATTAGAACAGCATTTAAAGCTTGTACAGGCAACTCATTCATACAAAAAGATCAAACTTAACAACTGCATTAACAAAATTTGATACAATGACATGATCTATTTACAAATGTACATGGTGATAAGAAATAAATTACATGTCAAAATGGGGAAAAATGCCTCCCTGTAGATTAAATGAAGAAAAAAATCTGACGATTTTGAATATTTAATGGAAAAGATGAAACCTTTATAACAATGCACTAGCATGTTTCATGGTCTGTTAAAAGCGTAGGTTAGAAAACAGCACATTGTGTATACATTAATAACAAAAATTGAGCATTTCCTTGGGTGAGAAGCACTTTTTGAAATAATTCAAAATCACTAAATTCAAAAAATGAAAAAAAAAAATTCTTCATGAAATTTTAAACAAAAAGGGCAGTTTCTTTTCCATGACATAATGAAACTATGATGTCTCTATTTACAAAGTGGCAGGATGAAAGATGAGTCCCACATGGCAGGTCTTATGACTTCTGAACTATAACGTTTGGTCGACAGTAGTAATGAACCATATTGGGTCGATGTAATAAGTTGGTGGCTATGGGGAATTTCTCATGATACTGTGATGGAGAAAGATGGGGGTGAATTTCAGTCAATGGAACTTCAGTGACAGTAACTGATTGTCTTGAGTCTATTTTCTCAAACGGAATAGGAGAGTCCCGGTCCTCGGGCTCACTGCACGTGACACTACTGTCTTTTTCACTCTCGTCACTATGAGGAATGCCGCGATGGTGAGATGTCCTATCATTTATCCCTAAACGATCTCCCTCTAGGTGTCTAATGGCCTCCACTATTGTCTCCAAGTTTCTCCGTGACATAGATTCCGAGTCCGAAGAATTTCTCTCATGCATCTTCTCATCTTCCTCTGATTCAACAGACTCAACATAAATCTGCAAAGAAACAAGGAATACCATTTAGTACAGATAGTATGGATATCTATGTACTTGCTCAAGCATCATCAGTATATATATAAGTATGCATTTAAAATACATTTCTGACATTGTATATATACTTTTAGTGCAAAGAAAGGCTGGGACGATACAACTTTTTCTATATCGATACGTATCACGATATTTCAGCCACGATACAATATGCATCACAATATGTTTAACTGCTTATAAAATCTTTTTTTGCATTGAAATAAACAAATTATTTCTTTGCAAATAAGAATAATTTATTCAAAATAGTTATATGTTGTAAAACAAAAATATTTTATTCTAGTGGTGTAACTTATTATTTATTTTATATCTACATTTATATTCAGCTTATTTATTTTATATATTAAACCCCATATGTTAAATAAACAAAGAAAAACAGAAGTCAGATTTTTTTGGCGATATTTCTTCATATGTATCTGTATACGCATATATGCGTATCGTCCTCACAGATATCTCGATATATCATCCCAGCCCTAGTGCAAGGAAAACATAACAAATTAAGAATTATAAAAATGCAAATAAAACACGTACAACTTTATCTTTAGGTCTCTTTTCTTGCATATGTTCAACAAATGTTGGATTCTCTTGCTTCAAATCATACGATTGATTTTGTTTTTGCAGCATCATTCGCAGATGTCTTTCTCGGTCTAACTGGCATCGCAAGTCTATCATCTCCCGCTTGATTTCATTGATGTCTTCATAATCTGCTGATATTCCCTCATCTGATGATTCTACAAATGAAGTTGGATAAAACAATTAAATAAGGTTCCCTAGACATCCCTTTTCCCCAGGTCATCCTTTTACATTTTTAAGTCTCATCTTCAATTCCTTTCATGAATTTTTTTGTACACACAAGATTTTTATAGATAAAGTTAAACCTAAAAAGGTAGGAGTTCTTGCATTTTCATGAAATTAACTATAGGCTTTACAAATTTCTCCTGAAAATATATACACACTATGCATAGAGTACTGTACCTGTATCTCGCTTCTTCCGTTTTGTCGGTGGAGATGGGTTATAGTTGTTGATGGATACTTGCTTCTCAAAATCACTCCCCAATAACCTTTTCAGCTGAGTGCTTAGTTGGTTGTTGATGGCTAAAAGTCGGGTCTTGTCACTTTCCAACTGCTCAATGTAATCAGAGGTCTGTTGCAAAATGGCAGCCTAAAAAATTGAAAATTTAAAATGCAATAATTTGTTAATAGTAGCTGTGAACATCTCCAGTTTATTAAAAACTTGATACAATTCTCAAAGTGCTATTTTTGACTTGAAATCTTGAAATAATTTCTGCATCTAGCTGAATGCATGCATTTCTAATTTGAATTAGGTCACCATAACAATAAACTTTTACAGATTTTAATAATAAAAATATTGAAGATGCAGGACTTTCAAAACAATGGAAACAGTACTTTAAAATGGGAGATACTTTGTGGAAGCAATTTTTAATTAAATTTCAAGTTTTCATATATCACAAAAACCAAGATATAAAATCATCAACTTCACAAACCATTATTAATTTTTAAGATTTTAACAATGAAAGCTTGTAGAATTTTATTTTCTGCACTCCTCTTGATCTGCCTTTTGTCTTATTTGAAATACAATTTATTTTGTTTTTACAGAAAAACATTCATGCATTTGAATGATTCTAATTTAAAAGTACATCTTGTAAACTCAATGAGACTCCTTATTTTGGCTGATTTACTAGATCAGCTGATAGCCCACTACTTTCTGGCAATCTGCCAGGGAGTACTGTTTGCACAATGTCTGTTTATTTTACCCAGGACCCAGTGACCAAGCAATGTTTGTCTACCTGGATGTCTGTTCTGTCGACATAATCGATACTCTAATTTATGTTTCACTAATGTCACTGACCTACATAGTCATTTTAAAATCTGCTCATCTTTTTACCTGTGAATCTACACTATCAACTCCCAAGAAAAAAAAGCTCTTTCAGTCAGGTAAACCCTTCAGTAAACACGATCTCCACACACATTTCATGAATGGCACATTGTGTGTTACACCTGAGTAATTTCGTATTTAGGTTCTTCTATTACCAAAGGCATCCCTGGAATCTCAGGTGAAATATAATTTCAAATATTTTTTTTTACTGGCACATCATCACAAACCTGTCCTGACCCATCCTACTTGATCTAAATTTGTCTACAACTATCTTGTGATAACCACCAAACACTTACAGCTCTGTAATTTGGGCTTTCTTTACACACAGCCCTTGTGATTGAATGCTTACATAAACAATTTTCTTGCCTACTGGATTTCCCATTCAATACAAACCACTCCTCTCAAACGGAAAAAGAATTGCAAGTTTATCAGTTTCATGCCTTTAAAGAGTGTCAAGAATATTTTTTATACTTATTTATGCGGGTTCTTGACAACACAAATTTGAAACTGGCATTATCAAATGCTAAATTTAAATTAATAATGCATACAGTAAAACATACCACTTTATATGACCTACATACCACAAGGACATCAGAATGTATGCACATCTAATTAGTCTTAAAAATCTATCTTAATCTGCTTGTGGTAAAGGAGACCCATAGGTCTGCGAGTCAACTATTATGTCTGATAATGATTATACAAGATCAATAACTGCTTTCAGACAGGCTGGGAAGTGATAACTGCTACACAGCTTCTCCTAAACACAGCAGTTACAGCTTGTCTAGACTGACTAATTTATTTCCATGCCTCAATCTCTGGTGTCCATCAATTGATGATTCAGGGCACAGAGCCAAGAAATACACATTTCACTTTTACTATCAGGTGGAATGTCACAGAATACTATTGTATGTAAAACATTTCTACACTTTAATTGTTGCATCATTTATTGTAAGACTTGTTCCTTTTTTCCCCTCCCATTCAATCCATCATTTATTCACACCTGCAATGCTCAGAATTTCTACAAATTTATATTGTGCATTCCAAAATCCTGATGACTGTATACAGGTCCAGCACAATCTCTTGATTAAGCTATATAGCTTTAAAAAGCTATATAGCTTTATTAAGCTATTCAAAATAGCTTGATAAAGCTATTTATTTTATATGCAATTTTTAATAAAAACGTTTTTTGAAAAAAATAAACAAAAAGTCGCAAATATTTGACTATTCATATATGTACTATGGACTATCAAAAATACAACCTAAATCATAGAAAGTTTTAACATTGTTGCTGTTGAATACTTTTAAGCAAAATATAAATTTCCATTGTTTGAGTAACTGTGTGTGTGGTGAGGCGTGGGTAAGTATGATTGCTTCTCATTGTGCTGAACTGTTACTAATCAATTATCCTGTTGGCCATAACTGGCCTCCTTTATAAACTCATTCAAGAAATAACTGTGTGGTCACTCACCAATGGCCCCAAAACATTTAAAACTTTGAGTTAAAAGTCTCTCGAGGGGACGCAATTTGGTGAGTGATTTTTACATGCATTGTATTCAGAGCAGTACAAAGTTTAATATTCTAACTGCACCAAGGTGCGACTTTTTGCACCTGTTGAAGAAATAACACATTTGAGAAAAAAGTCTGAGAAAATAGCTTAATCAAGCTATTCTGAATAGCTTAATAAAGCTATATAGCTAAATCAAGCTATATAGCTTAATCAAGAGATTGTGCCGGACCTGGTATATACAAACAAATATTTAAAAATATTTACCTTGCTCAATTTCTCTCCATCGCTGTGTGGAATCAATGATTTTAAACTCTGAAATCCAGCATTAATGCTCTGCATTCTTCTTCTCTCATTGCTGTTAGCAATCTCTCTCCTCATCTTTTTCTCATGTTCCATATGAGGTTTTCCAGGTATAGATTGTGATCTGCAATAATTTGATTTTTTGAGTCATGTGAAATGACACCAATTCTTTTCGACACAAAAATTTACCCGAAAGAAGTAATGTTCATGAAAAGTATAATTTGTACAAAATACTATCCATCATCTTTCGAATTATTACAAATACTTTTAGAAATGATTATTTTAAAACAATGATCACTTACCAATAAAAAAAAATATCTATCATTTTAATATATTAACATTTAAAAAAATTCACACATATCTATAACTGTTGACATGGTTGACAAACTTTTAGTTTACAATTTCACATTATTTTGCTTTCAATCTCGTTCTTAAAAAATTCAACTCTACTTTCTCTAGTTTGTTAAATTGTGAATTCACATAAAATATTTGTTTCCTGTTCAGGTAAAAAAAAATTTTACATTGATGCAACAGAACAAAATTGTGAGTAACAACTATCATATGACATGGAAAACATTGGAACTGTGCCAATTTTCTTTTTTCTATTTACAGTCAAATTTTAAGCTGTTCTGCATACGTCATGCAAAATACTGCATCACTCTGTGTTTACAAAACTGCACTGTTACATTGTTTATTTGTGTCTCAGTAAAAAGACGTTTGAAAAAAATATTTTTTTACAGAAAAGGTCAAATGAAAACAGTGCAGCGTATGTTTCAATAAATTTGGGAAGTATGCTTTAAAACCTGTTCATTTTTGTTTATTTAGTTAAATAATAGATAGTTGTAATAATCTGACACAAGATTGAAGTAAAAACTGGTCCTACATGTGTTAAATTATCGAAACATTGCAAAGAAATGCAACGTAGCTGACGAGTTGTCTGCCCTTTGTTTTCAGTCACGCCATGTGCGGTCTCGTGCTTCGGCTGACACAGAAATTTTGGCATCCAAGTACAGCAAAATTAACGTAAACTTTTTAAAAAATGGTATGCAATAACATGTATTGGATCATATTTAATCATAATGTTAACTTTTAAAATCAAACTAATGTTGACAAAATAGAAAAAAATGCAAAACAAGCATGGCCTACAAGCCGCTACGCAATGTTTATATTGTGGAAGGCGTGCGTACTCGCGTCGCTACTCACCTTCCCAGAACAGCTGTTAAATCCTCTCTTTGCAATTCGTACTCGGAGTACAATTTTCTTCTGTCACTACTCCTGTAAACATTCGACATCATAACTCCCTTGAAATCACAATCTTTACAACAGTTAAATCCAAGGAAATATTAAAGTTGTATTGCAAGGTTTACTACCGGGTCGTCGTGGCTTCAGTAGAATGAGTATTAATTGGCGGGAAACAGCTGTAGGTCGATTCACGAAGGCAGTGCTCTGGTCGTATCCATTTATTTCAATTATATAACATTGTATTCACTTCAACTATTGTAGAAATAATTAAAAACAAAGAAAGTAATGAAATGTGTTACTTTTATTATAAACTTAAATAAGTTTACTTTGTTCTTACACGAAACATATGGGATTATTTCTTACTGCGCAATCGATTCACTTTCCCAAGCCGCACTTGATCTCCGTTGGCAAGACGCGGGAAACAAACCAACAGCTGTTTGGCACACTGCCAAGATATAAGTAAGGAGAATTTGTACACTCGGTTTCTTTTTTGAATTCTTTTTAAAAATAATTTTGTGTTTTTAAAGCCATTGATTTCTGCAAGATTTATTTCAAACGTATCTAAAACCAAAACAATTGTGATGTTTTGTTATCATTTTCTCTATTTAAATCATCACTGCAAACCCATATTTAATGTATTGAAAGTCTCTACCAAAACACATTTCGTCTGGAATGCAGACTGCTCTATGACATTACCATATTTGTAGTTACTATATTTAGGTGTCAATCAGCTGAGCCAGTGCATGTAACAGATTGGGTTCTTCGGGTCAAGGGAAGGCAGTCGGCGAAATTGTTTACTAACACAAGCAGAATGGAAATGAAAATGCAAGAGAAACAGACTTGTCAGTCAACACATAATCACATTTTGAATAACCCTAATGAGGCTATTTTCTTCACTAAATCAAAATATTAAACAAATCAAAAAAAAAACAAAACAAAACAAAAAGATAAAAAAGGAGACAGAAACGAAAACAGGAATGGATAAAGATGTGACTATACTGATAGTATTACACTAATAGTATTTTTAAAAAAACATACTAATTATTAAATCATGAATTTTTTTTTGGTTTTTTTTTTTTTTTGTTTTTTTTTTTTTTTTTTTTTTTTTTTTTTTTTTTTTTTTTTTTTTTTTTTTTTTATTTTTTTAAAATTCTTTAAAAAGGAAGACATAGTTTTTCAACTTTTAACTTTCTGTTTAATACCGGATCGACTCTGAATACATTTTAAGAACATGCTTTATCCAAGATGCGAGTATCACTCATTGGATATTTTTTATGTCCCACTGGCATTGCTTGAAGGTCATTATTGATGAAGAAAATTGTTCAGAATCTTAATAGAAACAGTTCATACATGTAACTGATGTATAAAACGTGTGGTGAAAAGAATCCCCCATGATTTGTAGTTGGATGTGACTTTTTATCCAACTCGGTGTGTGTTTTTATCCACTCGCCAATCCTGGAGAAAAATACATAACTCGATGGGTAAAATCATATCCAACCACAAATTATGGGAGTCCTATATATATATATCTTTACAATATAGTATATATTGGTTGTCGATGCCACCTTATTCAGAACATCCATTGACTGAATATTTAAGCATCTTTTCCAAGCCTCCTTATTTGCATGAATTCCAGAAATTTCACATGGACGTCTTCGTCAGTAATTTTGTAGCACATAGGGGTTGGATAGTTATAATAGCTTTTTATACTGCGATGCAAAACTGACAAAGAGAAAAAATTCCGATTAAAATTTTTAGTTATTCTAGTGTTATAGTTAGTTTTAACATTTCTAATTTCTAAACCTTTAATGTAACATTTACATGCTGTTAAGATAATCCCCAGTATCAGATATTGTCATACACTTCCTCAGCGATTGCTGTAAAGAAATTAATCATGAATATTTACATGATCTACTTCATAACATTTGAATCAGAATGAATACATTTTATTGTGACAGATTGACTCGATACAAAGAAGGAGAGGTCAATTTCATGATCGACAGGAAAATTGTTCTTTCTCTTTCAAAGTGCTTATTCAATTTGCCTTTTTTAAACAACAATTTTTCCTTGATCCGTCATCATTTATTTAGTTTGTTTACTTTTTGCAAAAATGCAAATGGTTTAATTTTTTGGGGGAGAACAGACAAGCAGCAACATTTTTCATAGAAGGATGGGATACTCCCCCCCAAAAGAACCTAGAACTATTCAAAACACACAAACTCAGACCATCAGGTAGCACGGGTAGCTGGCCTGTCAATCAAATCAGAAGCTATTGTTTTTTTAATGGGGGGTAAATTATTGATCTTGAAAAGTCCTAAATTCCAATGTTTCATTCAATTTTCAGAGATATTGACTAAACGGTACATTTGCTTATACAATTTGGGGTCATCATTTTCATTATTTGTTAATTTTTTTAGGGGAGAACAGACAAGTTGCAGCAACATTTTTCATAGAAGGATGGGATACTCCCCCCCCCCTCAAAGAACTTAGAACTATGTGGGGGGGGGGGGTTACTAAGGATCTAAATTCCAATGCTTCATTCAGTTTTCAGAGATATTGACTAAAAGGTACATTGGGGAGGGGGGGGGGGAAGAGATATTCAACTCGGATTTTGTTTTAAGCTTATCATTTAAAATAATTATGTGATCCGAGTAACCCACCCCACCCCAAAAATTGGGGATTCAGCCAGCCAAATTAAGTTAGAAAATTACTGCCAGTCCTGGAGAGAAAGAGGGGGAGGACATTTAACCATTAACGTAAGCATGGTAAGAAAGACAACTCGGGGGAAATTTTAATTTTTCTATGCACAAAGAAAGATAACTCAAAAGCAAATATAGCTTTGTTTGACTTGCAGGGGGTCTTACGCATGCGTATTTCACTAAATCAGCATGTTGCATTGTTGACACTAAGAGGAAATTCCAGAGAGAGAAGAAAGGTAAAACAGTTTGTAACGACTTTTCTAACACAATTCAATGACTTAAAATTAAATTTATATAGCCAAAGAAGAATATTTTTTCCACTTTTTTTGCTGTCGTAAAGTTTAATGAGCTGTCTAGGTAGTTATTGACGAATCGTTATGTTACAATGCACAAACTGATATTGACTTGAAGAACTTAGGTCCATAATTTGAATGTCAACTTGTTCAAATGGTGGATTTTAGGAAAACATGCCTATTTATTGAATTGCAAATCTGTCATAGAATTTTATCCTTAGCTTTATATATTAAAATGTCATTGAAGTCTTATCAAATCACACGTAAACATGATTAAACAGGTGTTACTCAAAATAATTCAGATTTTTTTAATCATAATGGTCAACGGCGTGGCGCAGTGGTTAGAGTGTCTGCTCTAGAGTCACAGAGTAAGGAATAAGGAGTTGATCCTTACATTGCGGGTTTGAATCCCACTGTGGGACATGGAGACCAGTCCTTCGAATGAGACTGTATAAACCGAGGTCCAATGTGTCACAGTAGGTGCTGGCATGAAAAAGATCTCTCACTGGTCAATGGTCATAGGAGCATGACAAGTGTTGGACCAATAGGCAATAAGCAGAAAATATTGATTGTCAACGAAAAATTCTACCAATTCTGATTTTTCATAATCAATTATTGGAAAAGTACTTCTTGTATAATGCATTCCGAAATTATCCATTCCTGGTTTAAAATGTATTTCCTCATAATGAAAGAAAATGACAGTTACAAAACCAACTAGCACAAAGCAGAGGTGATAAAGAACCAAAAGGTGCATTTCATGTATGAAGAACATTTTAAAGTAAACGAATCAAAACAAACAAGAAAACAATATATTTATATTTTATATATTCATTTTAAAGAAATATGAAATACTTTAATACTATACTTTTATACAGAACTATGATATTTGATTATAATCTGTAAAATTGCATCGGAAGCAGTAACTGATTCCAACAGATGATCTATTATGAAAATTAACCAATGTCCCATCACTACTCCACTGGCAAGTGGAGGCATATCTAGAGAATTCTCAAGAGGGAAGTTGAACAATGGATAAGTTAGCTCACCTGGCCTTGTGACCATAAAAAAATAACATTCTGAGAAAAAAACTGAGTTGAGAACTTTTTTTTGGTCTGAGAATTGTTTTATGGTCACAAGAAGCAAAAGCTGAAAGGTATGTCTGTCCTGCAGTGTATGAAAACTTTCCACATTTTCCACTTTTCCATGCCAGAGTCACTGGGCTAATTTCAACCAACTTGTCAGAAAGCAATCTTGGGTAAAAGGGATTCATTCCCCCTGTTTTAGCTTATCAAAATTTGTCCATTGTCTGTCATTGTTGGCATTGTTGTCATCATCATTGTAAACTTTTCACATTTTCATCATCTTCTAAACAACCACTGGGCCAATTTCAACCAAACTTGGCACAAAGTATCCTTGGGTGAAGGGGATTCAAGTTTGTTCAAATGAAGGGCCAAACTAGGGTTGGATACCAGTACACTGTACCAATACCGCACCAAATAGTTACTTCAAAAATACTGGTAAAAATACTGTTTCATTTAATATCAGTACTGATAATGGTATTTCTGAATCTTTTAAACTTTGTAATACATTCCAAATGATTTTTTAAAAAAGATTCCAGACTTCCAGACCGAATTTGATACTTAGTACAATACTTGCTTTCTATTGCCGATATATGAGGTAAATCAATATATATTAAAAAAAAAATTACATTAATCATTTTTCAATTTTATTAATACAGTGTATTTACATTTGCAAATGTTTTCCCTTATGTAACACTATTTGAACAAGGCATTTTTACATCTCCGTAAAACATGTTCGTCATGTGACCATAAATTGATTGTTTAGTCATAAACGATCTACATAATTTGATAGTGACGTCATAAGCGATCGACGTTATCAACACATTCAATTTATACCTTTGAGTTTTGAAGAAAAAAAAACTTTATGGATTTCAAACTTTACTTATGTACCTTACTGTTTGTAATTAATCAGTGACAAATGTAAATATAAGTAATAAGGTATCATTTTCTGAGTTTTATTGGGATGTAAAACGGGTTAGCACATGATTAAATCGTAAAGCCCAAAGGGCTTTATGGAAGATTTGATCACGTGACCAACCTGTTTTACATCCCAATAAAACTCAAAAAATGATACCTTATTTCTTAAATAAAAACTGAAAAAAATTGTCAATTAAAAAGGCAAAACATTTGATGTCATCTCTCTCCATTTTTCATGTTTCGTCGTTTAGTGCTACCAAACAAAATGGCAACCAGATGAAGTGATCAGCTGTCATTTTAGCAGAAAATCAGACGGCGATGTATGTTGGTTACAAGTGAATTTTAAAGCACATTTGTCATTAAATTAAACCATGATTCTCATTTATCAAGGTATAGTACCTACCTTTAAAAATACTTTACTGTATTGTTTCAAAAATATCGGTATGGTATTGTACCGTTTCATCCTAAATGGTATCCAACCCTAGGCCAAACCCTCTTCCTAGGGGAGATAATTGTGAATTTGTGAAAAATTAATGGCATCTTTTGAAAATCTTCTGAAGAACCACTGGGCCAGGAAAGCTGAAACTCATGTGGAAGCATCCTCATATAGTATAGATTCAAGTTTGTTCAAATCATGACCCCAAGGGGTAGGATGGGGCCACAATGGGGTATCAAAGTTAAACATAGGAATACAAAGGAAAAATCTTGAAAAATCTTTTTCTCATGAACCACTGGGCCAGGAAAGCTGAATCTCATGTAGAAGCATCCTCATGTAGTGTAGATTAAAGTTTGTTCAAGGCATGACCCCTGGGGTAGGATGGGGCCACAATTGGGTATCAATGTTTAACATACAGTAGGAATACAGAAGAAAAATCTTTGAAAATCTTCTTCTCAAGTATCATTGGACCAGAAAAGATGAAATTCATTTGGAAGGATCCTCATGTAGTGTAGATTAAAGTTTGTTCAAGGCATAACCCTCGGGGTAGGATGGGGCCAAAATGGGGTTTCAAAGTATAAGGAATTGATATGAAAATCTTTTTTCTCAAGAACAGCAAACCCATGATTGGACATAATTATATGGAAGCATCCTCTATTAATGTAGATTTATGTTTGTTCAAATCATGACCCCCAGGGGTAGGGTGGGGGTACATTGGGGGATCAACATTTTACATAGGAGTACATCAATAAAAACTTCTCAGAAACAGCAAAGCCATGGTTGGTCATAGTTATATGGAAGCATCCTCAGGTAGTGTAGATTCAAGTTTGTTCAAATCATGACCCTGATGCAAGGGTGGGGCCATAATGGGTGATCAAAGTAAAACTGCATAGAAAAAAATATTTACAAATTTTCTTCTCAAGAACAGCAAAGCCATGATTGGTCATAGTTATATGGAAGCATCCAAGTTTGTTCAAATCATTATTCCCAAGGGGTTGGGCTGCAATGGATGAACAAGAATTTGCATAGGAATACATGGAAAAATAGTTAAAATTCTTAACAAAAACAACAAAGCTATGATTGATCATCAAAAAGGTAATGTAAATTTTAACTTGTTCATATTCTGACAATTGGGAGACTAGAGGAGTCATTAGAGTGGATCATAACAAAGGAATATAAAGGCTTTATCAATAATAATTTTCATCTTATAAATAACAAAGCCATTATGTGTTATGTTAATTCAAAAGTCCTTAGGAAGTTTAGTTTTAAGTTTGTTCAAATACCCCCCCCCCTTTCCCCTTCCCTGACCCAATTTTATATATATATTTTTTTATATTTAAACTTTTCAATACTGAACTGATTTTTGCTTTAACCTAGCCAGTTGCTCAGGTGAGTGATGTTGCCCCTGGGTCTCTTGTTATGAAATGGAGAATTTACAAAAAGAGCTCGGTTCACTTTATGTATAAAATGGCTTTGACTTTGTATCTTTGTACCCTCTTTCCCTTGTCATATATCACAATAAAGTAAAAACAAATTTCTATTTGAGAGTCCAGGTTCATGTATTGGGAAAAAAAGGCTTTGTGGAAATCCAATGTTCTTGAATTTTGCAGAAATTTTTATTTTATATAAATACTGGTACAGACAGACAGACAAAAATAGCCAGATTTAAAAAAGAATGATACTTAAAGACATGCAGATAAAAATAACCATTGTCCAAAATTTCAATATAAACCCAAAAAAAGGAGAAAAAAATGGAGCATTGAGCATTTGTAGTTTTCTACACACTCAATCTTATTTTGTTTAGAAAACCTGTCTAAAAATATCATTTCATCTCATTCCATTCAGTTACTAAAGATTTGAATTTTATTTAAAAATTTTGCAAAGGCATTTATAGTAAAAGGAGATACGAATTCATTTAGCATGTTTTATAAGTTGTATATTAAAGCATGCTAAAATGTACAGATTTCAAAACACTTTTAGCCTAATCTGTCACCTACATATCTGTGTGGGCCCATCATGTTACTCCTAAGATTTTTATTTTTATTATTTTTATTTATTTTTTTTTTTTTTGCATATATTAGGCCAGTTAGATAAAAATATCAGATATCTCAAGGACATACATGGGAAAAATCCATTTCTAAGTAGCCTTTGTATATTTTTTTGCAGTTGTATAATTTGATTATTAGAAAATAGAAAGTTAATATGTACTGCCTGTGCTTTGGTGTTGTGTATAAAGACTATTTTGGATTAGTTTTTGAAGCTATAATTCATTCACTTCTAAGAGTGTAGAAGCTCTTATGATGATTTGTCAGAGTCATATTTTCCTTGACACGATGGTCATTATGCAGGTGTGACTATTTATCTTTACATCTTCAGTGTGAGCTGTATTTTATTTGTAGTAGGGGAATACAGACTTGTGGCAAACATCAAAAAATAATTATATATCATGATCTGTTTGTCTTATTCAATCTGAATTATTTTATTGGCTCCCATATCTCTAAAATTGCAACACTCAACACATTGAATGCTATCTTAAAAAGAAAAGAAATGAAAAATGCAAGGGGCCCCCCAAAACTATTTTTCATTTAAGGAATTCCTTCTAAGTCCTATTAATTTGAGCGAGATTTTTTGGTTGGTAATAAAAGTGATGTCATTCTCTCCATCGACTTTGAAAAGTTAAAAGCTGGTTTTAATCTTGAAAATCTCTTTTCACTTTGTTTTTTTCAATTTGAATGAAAAGACACTTCACATGTGCTCTGAAATATTTCAAAAGTAGACAATTATGAGTGAACATATTACATCAACAGGATTAATCCTGTAAAGCTTGGGTGATTTGCATTATTGAATTTTACACCCATAAACCCAGGGACCCCCAGTGTTTTGTGGTCCAAAACTTGGCCTTGAAATTGAAGTTTAAATTTTTCAATATTTCAGACATTTGATTGCTTCTTGGCACTCGGTACATTTCACTTTTCGTAATATATATGTGGGCTAATTGTGCAATAGCTTCAACAAAATTGAATTGACCTTTTCTTAATTGAAACGAGTTATTCTTATCATAGAAGCTTTTATTTGATTGGATTCTTTGAAAATAAATTCTCACAATAAAGAGCAGGTTCCCCTGAACGTTTGGGAATCAATATTCCCGCTGTTAATTATACAGTTCAGATTACATATATGGTATTTTACATAAAAAATGGTAGCCATTTCTCAGCTTGAAATAAATTCCATATTTAGACCAAAGAATACAAGGCATATTTTGTTGCACATTCCCTCACAGCTTTATCATGGAGGGCCTGTTCTACATATAAAGGAATTTATCAGCAAATCAATTTGCCTTGTCAATATGCACTTCAAATATACTTTGTTTTAATCTCAGCTTTTAAATTTAAAACAATTTTATCAGTTAATTATCTCAAAAATGCTTTTTATATGTTTTCTTTGACCAAGTCTTAGAAGTATGTTATGGATAAATATAACTTTTATTATTTAATAATTAGCACACTTTTTTTATGACTTAAAGTCTGATGTCTCAAAGTTCTAGTACATGTACATGAACTTCTTTCCATTTTGCTATGGTCGTGCTAAAACAGCTAGAGAGGTCAGAAATAAACTATGTTTACTGCTCAACCTATAAATTCCTGTTTGTCTGAAAATATTAAAATTAAATTTTAAAAAAAATCTGAAATATTACTATATTGTACAGTAGTTGTGTATTTTTCATGATTTTGAAATAGGCCTTCAGCCCTTCTTTAACTTTTTTCCCTAAATATTTTGTGTATATTTTTCAAGGTGGGTAGATGTGTTATAAAGCACTTTGAAAAATTATGCATAATCTTTTCTGAGTGCATTACGCACAATCTTTTCCAGGTGCATTAATTTTGGGGACAAAATTTAGGCACTTTTTTTAAGTGCATTGATTTTGTCCCAATTTTAACGCACTTTGAATTTTTTTTTTTAAGTGCATAATATTTTTAAAGTGCATTGCCACATAGGTGTTTTTTTAAATTATCCCATAAATGCAAAATATATAAGGTCCTCAAAAGAAATGATGGCAAAGGGGGGGGGATATTTTGTCAGGTCAGTTGGAGTACAGGTACATGTACATCCAAAAACACAGGATTGGTTGTCCCTTTAATGATTTAATGACCATTAATTAGTTTCCGAATCCTGTATGAAAAATTGTTTTCAATGAAAAAAATATATAACTGTTTATTAGTGCTTGAACTTGCAAATTAGTAAACTTAAAAGATAGCAACTTACTGTGGTATATTTGTAATTTTGAAGTATATATACATTCATGAATTTTTCATTTTTCAATACATGTATTGTTTGACATTTTGTATCTAACTTTTAAAATGCAGTGTCGCAAGGAGATTTTCTTTTGAGACACGGCATATTTTGGTGGGTTTTGTGTTGTTGACACAATGAAGTATCAGTTTTAATGTTTACTCTAATAATGAATATTGATTCAACACAATTGGGAATGAAATTCAATTTCTACATTATCCTTTAAACATTATAAGATTATCACCTGTACGTGTGTATATTTAGAAAAGATATTGCAAATCCCTGGTGATAGAGGGTTAGAAAGGCCCTCCAATAGTGTATCAGCGTATGATCAGTTTGTTTTAGGGGAGTGCTTGATTCGACAGAAATTTATTAATATCAGACAGGGAATCACACAAAAACAACTGAGGAAGTTTTACCTGTATATTTATACTTAGAAAGGGAAATTCAGCCAGCATCTCATAAGGTGAAGGGTTTATTTTGTGTGGTCTGTTTATAAGGAGCAGTCTTCACTGCTAAGGGAAGTTTTATATGCATTGATAATTATAAGCAGATTTTTTTTTGGAAGGGGTGGATGTGGGGTTATATTTAATTGAAATATTCGCAATACCATTTTTGCTATATTATTACTTGTATAAACAGACAATTTTGGGTGATATTTTTATTTCATGCACTGATCTACTTTTTAAAATTCAGAAACTGTCTATTCTTGTATTAAAGAGTGTGTATTGAAATGATCGAAATTAATGGGTTAGCTTGATAATTGGTTTAAATGTACAGTATTATGACACTTGTCTGTTTATTGTCTGTATATTTCAGGTTCTGGATTGACAAAAGCATTTTACAATGGGTGTGGCAGGGCCTATTTCTACAGATAAAATGTAAAAAGGTAATTTAAGTACCAATCTCATTGTTTACTTAAACTTTTTAATGTTTGGCAGTCATGCAGCTCAGGTTTGAGAGTAAGTGTGTATCATTTGATTTTCAAATTTTATTCAGAATATTAAGATGACAATGATATACGTATATTTTTGGTAAAGTTGATTTTTACATTCTTACTGATATTTTTTTGAAGAAATTATGATGTTGCATTTTTTGTTGGTACATGTACCTTCATGATTGTATTTCCCAATTACCTTTTTTCTATGTAAACAATTTAACATATTTTATGTTCATATGAACCATTTAAAATGAATTTTAAAAATCTTTTTAGTTCAAAAGAAGAAGACCATTTCAAAACCATCAACCAATCATCCACAAAAAAACATTGCAAAACTGTAATTCTAAACCACTGAATACCACCACAATCTAGCCTACTTACACCCAGAAAAACCATTCACCAGTTTCCAGTACCATACAAATTTGGTAAGTTTAGGTGTATGGTAGACCTTTCCATTTTGGTGTCCTATATGGACATACATGAGGACACCATTGTCTGTCTTTGGTAAGTTTATGTTGTGGAGAACCAGTAATTTCTGTGTCCTATATGGAACAGGGGACATAGGAGGACAGAATTGTCTGTCTTTACAATATGTCAAGGTGACACATCACTGTGTACATTTGACCATTTACTTCTAGAGTATGATAATGATGATCACTAGTAGATAAACCTTATAATTTTATTTTTACATAATTCCAGAGTTGGAGAATTGTATAGATTGTATAACAAAGTGCAGAATTGAATATTGTTGTCACTAGGGTTAGCCAAAGTTCTATTACAGAATCAAAAGACCAGTGTCTGTAGGAAATGATAGACATGGCTTCAAGTCTAACTTATTTTAAGTGACCTCAGTCAGGGGACATTTTCAAAATGTTTAAATGACCTTCAGTAACTGAATGTCAGTGAACATGTTCTAAGATTATTGTAGATAGCAAATGATGCTTGTTTAAGAGTATGCATCATCATGAACACTCTTTGGTTATGTGGGACAGAAACTTTATGCTTGTAATTGATTGAAGAAAGTTTGAGAACAATTAGAATGAGAGGAAGTTGTTTAGTGTAGGTGGTCACCAAGGCAGGTTAGACTATACTTTGCTGATCAAGAGACAAATTTTTCTTTATTTATAGTGTATCGTGGTATTTCATTTTTTTTTAAAGCTGCGTCGATTAAAGTTTCACATTTATCAAGAAATGCGGAATGTTGGTTTAGAAACAAAAGGTTGTTTAGGCTTATCATGTTCTTAACTGTATTTTTTTTTATACTGATCAATAATCATATTCATGTACATATCTACCTTTAATGGTCTCTCAGTAAAGTTTGGAAGATCAAAAGACTACTTCTTTGGAGCTTTAAGCCACAGGATATCGCTAGACTGTCATGTTGAGTAGGCCTAAAAAATGTCTGAATTTTCACATTGGGGGTATCGGCTTTGTGGAATTCTCAAGATCCGTGGTGAAGAGGGACATGCTTAGTTTCTTATGGAGTGCTGCAGTTTGTTTTGACACCACAGATAATGAGACATGCAATATAAAAAATTGGGCCCAAGATATTATTGAAAATTCAGGAAGGATTTTCCTTTATTGTCAAAAATAAGCTGGTGACAGTTTCAAAATTTATAGACCAGATCAGTCACATTTTATGTTGCATTTTCTAGATTCTTTAAGCCTTACACAAAAAATGGAATTCTCTCATAAAGATACAGTCTGGTTGCCTCTCGTCTTTAATTGAACAGCTTGATTTGACATCTTTTCACCTTTAAAAAAAGTTTTCAGCAAATGCTAAAGCACTGTTATTGTTCAGCTAATATCCAGCTTTCATATTATTTACATTTATTACATTATACCAACAACGGAAATATTCCTCACCAAATCCCTTCAAAGAAGGGAGGGCATATTGCTTTGCTGCTCTCTGTTGCTCAATCCACCATCAGTTTCCATTCATTTTCTTTGCAGAGGTTACACATATTAAAATGAAATTTGGTATACAAGGACCAACCTAGACCCAAAATTTAGGGAGACTTCACTTCTCCCTCAGAGAAATTTAGGGAGAAGTTTTAAAATTTAGGGAGACTTCTTGGTGCGCATGATGCTCACTGATCATTTTAAAACTTTTTAAAAATGAAACTATTTCATTGTTTATAACTTAAAATACATTTCAATAATTTTTTTGTAGTGACATCCTAGCTAGTAAAAAATAATCAAAAAATAATAATCTGAATTTTTTTTTTCAATTACAAGGTATATCTAGCAAAAAAAAATTAAAAAACAATGACAAGGTAAAGTTTTTTTTTCCATTTCTTGCATAATAAGCACAGTTAACTTTTAAATTCTATCATTTCATTTCAAACTTTCAGCCTCAGAGCCTGATCATAATTTTTTGTTATTTTCTCTTCAAAATTTGTTTTCAATGTACTTAATTTTTTTTCTGAAAAAAAAGTTCTGATGTACATGTACTATGTACTGCATGCTGATTGAACTCCGTATATCAGACATGTAATTTCTTGGACAGTCAATAAATCCACAATTGAACAGTAAAAGTATGTCTGTATTCACAGCATGAATTAATTATTTGGCAATGAAAAGATCTAAAATCATCTTCAACATCTTTGGCATGACATCGATAGCTGACCAGCTGTTTTGTGTCTGGTTGTGCAAAACTTCAATGGACTTTTTCATACTTGGAAGCGTAAGGTCATGCAAAGTTAATTACTTGGTTCTCAGGCCTTTTTTCAAGAAATATGATGAGGGAGGGAGGCTTTTTTTTTCTTTTTTATTGCCCCCAAAACATGATGAGGCAGCTTTTTACATTATACAAAACCTCAAAAAATGATGAAGGAGGTGATTTGGTGTTTATATTTTATTGATTTAGCAATAAAAAGGGTCAATGAGGCACCCTTGGAAGAGATGAGGGAGGGCCTGAGAACCAAGAAATTAATTTTTTTTTGCCTAAAATCTAGAGGATTTCGGACAGAGTATTTGATAAAGGGGTTGCAAATGTTAAGGCGACTTAAACTTAGCTTTCATGATAAATTACAGTGAAGTTTGGAGCCCAAAAGCGACTATTTCGCCTCAGTCGCCCCCTAGGTTGGTCCTTCGGTATATCTAGGCCAGGTTTTGGGTTTGATCTAGTCATTTTAAGGAAGGCCCACACTTTTACGGATCCGGTTCTAATTTTACACATCAATATAACATTCTGATTTTCACTTTTCTATGGATATAAATCATTTTGGGTGATTGAAAATGATTTAGCAAGTATATATATGTTTATTATAGTGTTATTGTGCATATGAAGCATTTATTATACATTATTTATGGAAATTGACACTTTGCAGTCTGTCCATAAGATCTGTATATCATTTAGTACATACACAGAAAAAAAATTCCTAATTGCTTTTATGGACCTAAATCTTTTTAATTTTCTTTTAAGCAAACTAACCTGAGATCTATTTTTATTGATTTAGAGCCTATATCATCCATTTAATTTTTACTTTTTAAAAATTTTGCATTGAATAATTGAAAAAATTGATATTCCAAAAATTGGGGTATATGTCTTCAAAAGACTGTTTTGTTAAAATTCTCTGGTCAACCATAATAAAGTAGCTGTTTTTGTTAACTTTAGGTATAATTCTTATTAGTTTTAAAGAAAAAATTGCATCTAAACATTTTGGATTTTGAGAATTATAAAATATAAAGATATTTTGAGATTTTTTCTGAAAGACATGGACAGGTTCAACACCAATTTGTTAATGTTTTGCAGTAAAGATTTCAAATATTCTCTTGGCAAAAGAATATTTTTTTTATCTTCATAAGTTTTAAAATAAATTTGATGTAATTTGGTGCATAACTAAGAAAAATATGATTTCACACTTTTTAATGTTCAATTTTGGCTGTTGAGTTTTTAGAGGTATGTGCGCTGAGACATGTTGTATGAAAATGAACCTGCAAAGATATGTCTTTTAAGGGTGTTTTAGTAAGTTTAAGACTTGTTCAAGGTATTCAAATTGAAAAATTATCAGTTTGACAGAAAATTCTGAAAGTACGGACCTACCTTAAGCAGAGTTATGCCCCTTGGACTTAGAAAAATTCCAATTATTTGCAGTTTCCATTAATTTTCTTTGAAGTGGTTGCACATACTGAAATGAAATTCAGTATACAGATTTACCATATGAATACCTAGGTCAAGTTCTGTTTTGGGAATGATTGCGCCATTTTTGACAGAGTTATGTCTTTTACACTTAAAAAAAGTTCCAGTTATTTGGGGGGAAGGGGCATAAATGTTTTACAAACATCTCTTTTTTTCTGCAATTAGAGAAAAAAAAGATTCATTTATTATCTTTAATTCTTTAACGTCTTATTCATCCTTATCAAGGCCGATTTCAAAACTTTTAAGGATTAATATTTGTTTTAAGGGGTAATAAAAAAAATAATAAGTTAAACATATTTTTAATATTAATTGTCTGATTTTCTCAAATTACTATAGTACACTGAATATAGATAAAAGAAATTTCCATGAAGTCAGAATATCCCATTTTGTTGGTTCCATATTATATTTTCTTGCAATTTTACATCATGTTCCCGGTAAATCAGTGCCCATGACCTATTGCTCAACACGTATCTCTCAGTATTTACTCCCTAAAAAATCAGTGAAATACAAAAAATTGAGAGTATATTTCTAACAAGATTTCACTCAACTCACAAAAAGTAGATACAACATGTAGCTTGATAAACTTAAAGATAATGTGTCAAAAGGACTAGATCCAAAAACTCTGGACTATTTATATAGCATCCTGCTTATCGTACTTTGCCATTGGTCACTAATTCAAAAGGTCAAGGTCAAAAATTGTATGATCACTTTAACTACAAGGCCACGATTCATTGTTGCATGGGACAATTTTCAAAATGTGAGGATGAATAAGTCTCAACTGCTATATAATTACACTGGGACTCTGTTTGACTTATCAATTTCTTGATACCTATACAAAGAACTTTCAAATACATATGGATGAATACTCATGACCTTTAATGACATATGGAGGGAATACTCATGACCTTTAATGACATATGGAGGGAATACTCATGACCTTTAATGACATATGGAGGGAAAAATCATGACCTTTAATGACATATGAAGGGAATACTCATGACCTTTAATGACATATGGAGGGAATACTCATGACCTTTGATGACATATGAAGGGAGTACACATGACCTTTGATGACATATGGAGGGAATACACATGACATTTAATGACATATGGAGGGAATACACATGACCTTTAATGACATATGGAGGGAATACACATGACCTTTGATGACGTATGGAAGGAATACACATGACCTTTGATGACATATGGAGGGAATACACATGACCTTTAATGACATATGGAGGGAATACACATGACCTTTGATGACGTATGGAAGGAATA